AGCAGTCGAGTATCTCTCATCGGGAACATGGTGCCCAGGTGTCCTCTGCTTCCTGGGGCAGGAGAAGATGGGCGTCAGCGGGATCCTCTTCGCGACCTCCCCTTCCCACCGTTTGGGGCGGTGGGGTCCCTGGGCACGAAGCTGTCCGAGGGGGAGCTGAGGGTGACGTGGAGGAGGCTTTCGCGAGCTATCGCGTCGATTCGGTGCTTGGCTTGTGGGCATACCCGCGTGGTGGAGGAGTTGCGTGCACGCCCTTGCAAGAGGACGTGGACGTCGGCTACGCTACTGCAGAGGACGCTGATCAACAGGCTCTGGGAGCTGCTGGCGGAGCGCGCCAGCTGGGGAGGCATCAGCGATGGCAGGGCGGTTCTCGGCCGTCTTGGGAAGGGGCAGTTAATGGGCTACGGGAGGTCGGAGAGGACGACGACGAGGACAGGCGCCATGAAGAAGGGGGACATGTGCGACCTGATCGCGGAGCAGGTCTCGGCGCCGAAGGTCGGGGCGAATGGCCTCGACGTTGCGCGGCTTTCGCCTACGGCGCGGCCCTACCTGGAGAACGTGGAGGGGCTCATGTTGAGGGGCGACGACGAGGTGGATGGGGTGAGGTACCAGCAGACCAAGAGCTACAGCGACCCTGGGTGGAGGATCAGGTCGAATCGGCTGGCCCTGACGCTCAGGATGTGGGAGGCTGGTATGTTGAGTTACGTCGACAAGGTGAAGGAGCACGTGGGGGTCTTTACGGTGGTGAAGTCCTTGGAGGAGGGCAGCATGACGGACATCGAGTCCTCCAGGCTGGTGCGGGACTGTCGGCGTCTGAATCTGAGGTTCAGGAGACCACCGTGGACGGGACTGGGATCACCGAGTGCTCTGAGTTCTCTGGATCTGTCGCCAGAGGTGTCGGGGGAGAGGGAGTTGCTCTCGTTCGCGGGGGACATCCCAGACTGGTTCTACCGTTTAAGGTGGACGAGGTCGCTAGCTCAGTATTGTGTGCTGGAAGACGTGTCACCGAGCGAGCTGTGGGAGTATGCGAAGGGACAGGGGAAGGACATACCCATGCCAGGCGAAGGAGATCGGGGGGTGGGGGCTATCGCCCCCGTGATGGGGCATTCGTGGGCCGTCTTCCTGGCTCAGCCGTGCCTCACCGATTCGTTCAAGGAGGTGAAAGGGTACGACCTGGGGGAGCTGGCCTATGGGAGGCCGACCCCATCCTTCGAGACGTGTCAGCTGATTCTGATGCTGTACATCGACGACTACATCGGCTTCAGGCTCCTCGACCCGCTCGAGGGCGATATCGAGGTGGACAAGGAGGTGGTGAAGAAGGTGTTGGTGGACAAGGGGCTCGAGGTGCACAAGGAGGAGTGGGGTCCTGGGCTGCAGCGCGGCCTCGGGATCACGGTGAGAGGGCGGCCGTGCCAGGTGACGATCCATCCAGAAAAAATGAGGGAGCTGGTACTGGCAACGGAGGCCTTGGCGGTGAAGCCCTACGTCTCTCCTGCGAGGCTCTCGTCTTTGCTGGGCATGTGGACCTGGGCCCTTATGATTTGCCGCCCGGGGTTTGCCATCCTGGACGCGATCTACAGGTGGATCAACGAGCACGGCGACTCTTGGGAGGAGGTGCTGCCCCTCACGACGGATGTGGTCTCGGAGCTCGTGGCGTTGGCCAGCCTCTCGGTGTGCTTTACGTCGGACTTGGAGGCGGATTGGGCCACGAGGGCTTACATGGCGGACGCCTCGGAGTTCGGGCACGGGGCGGTCGCGACCGAGGTCGCCGCGACGGAGTGCAGGATGGTGGCGGCGAAGGGCGACCTCCAGACTTGGACCGTCAGGGCCGACGAGGCCTTCACAGCGGTGGAGGAGGAGGTCGCGCGCGAGGGCGAGGAGGACGACGAGATGGTGGGGCCACCAGCGGGACGGCCTGGTTTCCTGGAGCTGGCGAGTGGGGTCGAGAGGATCAGCGACGACGTGGTGACTCGCACCAAGTCCTGGTGCGAGGCGTCGGACCTCCTGAGGGGCCCCTCCTGCGAGCTGACGGAGCCGAGGGAGCTGGAGCTTCTGTTTGGGCGAGTGCGTCGACGGTGGTGGTGGCGTACACATCTGGCTCCCTCCAGGTCGCCCTTGGAGCAGCTGATCGCCTTCGAGGTCGCCAAGCTCTTCCACGGGGAGGGGCTGATCTTCACGGCGGTGATGACGGCGGAGGCGGAGGTCGAGGCGCTCTGGGAGGATCTCACCAGGCTCGAAGAGGTCTTCGCTTTTCGGACGGCCACGGAGACTCGGTGCCTGACGATGGTTACGAACGACGGGCGCTTCGGGGCCCTGCAGTGCGAGCGGGATCGCAAAGCAGTGCAGGTGGAGGCGACGGAGTTCAGGTACGGCTCGAAGTGGAGGACTACCTACTGCGAGCAGGTGCTGAAGATCGAGCCGTGCTGGGACATGGTCGTTGCGGGGGCCCAGGCGAGGCTGGAGGGTGGCATCCTCAGGGTGGTCAAGAGGCGTGGACAGGCTCTACCTGCCGCGAGGATCTGGACGAGGGTGGATCGCTGGTCTTCACTCTTCAAAGGATTGTGGCAGCGAGAGGAGCACAACAATATCCTGGAGTTACGTACGATTGTGCCCCTACTGCGACATATGTCGCGCACGCGGAACATGTGGGGCAAGCGCGTGCTGGTGTTCTCGGACTCCTTGGTGGCGATGGGCGTCCTTACCAAGGGGCGCTCGTCGGCGACAGGCTTGCTGCGCTTGGCTCGCCAGGCTTATGCTGTGGTCCTCGTTTTCGGTATCAAGCTGTATTTGAGGTGGGTGGCGTCGGAGGACAATGTAGCAGATGGTCCAAGCAGAGCTTTGGACATCGGGGCGGCCGAGGCGACGAAGGAGGAGCACAAGTGGAGACACACGCCGAAGGCCGTCCGCGCCATGCTTGCAAGACCCTGCACTACTGCGAGTACGACGGGACCTACCACCTCGACATGGTGAGTGGTCACCGCGCCGACGAGTTGGTGGAGTACGAGGACGTCGACTACGAGGAGCTCTACTGGACCCTGGAGGCGCTGGCGGCGAATCGGGGCGTGCGGTCCAGGCCGTCCTGCAGCTGGCTGCTGATTATCTTGGGCGGCCTACGCGGAGCAGGTGCAGCGCTGGCTCTCATCATCCTGGATCTGTGCCACGCCGGGTGTGTCCATGAGGCGTGCGCGGTCGTGGTGCAGCTCGACGGCTGGTTACGTGAGCAGGACTGGGCTCAACTACGGAAAGGCAGCATCTCGGTGGATGCGCAAGGGCGCATGGCATTATTGCTAGGAGATCGAGCGAGAGGGGAGAAGGTCAAGACGGGCTCGGGGGCAGGGGATGCACTGATGGAGCTGACGAAAGGCGTGCTGCCCACCCTCGCCGAGGATCTCGCAGATGATGAGCTCGTCTTCCCGATCACCCCCGACAAGTATCGCAGGTGTTGGCAGTCTTCTCTTCAGAGGTTGGGCCTTGAGGCCCTTGGCCCACCTCATGGCATCCGACACGCGGGTGCTGCTCAGCATGTGGCGAATGGAGGAGAATTGGAGATTGCAAGGAGGAGGGGGCGCTGGACTACTTCGAGCGCCTGGCAGCGCTACACGAGGACGCACGTCTTGATACGGCGGTGCTCCCTCCTCCAGAAGGATCAGATCGTGAAGGGCGAACGTTTTTGGCAGGCCCCAGGCTTGGCGATGGCCAATGCGCTGGGGAAGTCCAGGGCGGCACGTAGGCCGCTCACCGTTTGCTTGATTGCGGCTCTCTGGCAGCTTTCGAATGACAGCCTCGACCTCGGCTGCGCGTCGCTGCAGGCGCGGCCCGAGGTGGGGTGCTCGAGAACAGGGGGCAAGGCCCTGTTTCGATGCCGTGGCCCCACCTAGCCGCATCTCCTCTCTCTTCACATCCATGTAAGAGTTTGGATTTCGAAGTGCGTTTTCTTTGAGCTTGCAATTAATCTGGGGATCTGTGCCAAAGCTGGGGGGGGGTGAGTTTTTGAGTATAATACCTGTATTATTCTTTTCCCGCCCTCCCTCCCTCTGCCTGCGGTGCTTGTTTCAAAAATCCTGAATGCAGGGCCTTCGGCCAGAAGGGGCGTTTTGGCCTTGTGCGGGGCTCGCACTCTCAATTTGTTGTGCTTGATCGGCCCCTGGGGGCCCATGAAGGTCAGGTACCTGTGGGCCCTCCGTGTGGAGGGCTGGTGTCTGCATGATGTTGGCGAGTGCTCTGAACTTTACTTGGGGCGTAGACCCCTCACTTTCGCTCGTTGCTTGTAATGTGGTCGCTCTCATCTGCTGTTGCTGTGTCGGATATTCATGCTCGGTGTGCCATGGACTTTTATTCGCCAGGCCTCTCGGCCGCTGCCGTCTGCCCCCAAGCTCTGGCACTTAGGGTCCCCAGCACAGCTTAATTTAAATACATGTTTTATTAAACGCACTTTTACATTGCTAGTGCTCCCCCTCTTGTGCCGTCCCTCTCCCTCTTGTCCTCGTCCTCGTCCTTGTCCTCCTCGGCTTCGCCGCCGCTCAAGTTTCGGCCCCGACCCCCCCTCCCTGTGTGGAGGGGTTCGCACTCTCAATTTGTTGTGCTTGATCGGCCCCTGGGGGCCCATGAAGGTCAGGTACCTGTGGGCCCTCCGTGTGGAGGGCTGGTGTCTGCATGATGTGGGCGAGTGCTCTGAACTTTACTTGGGGCGTAGACCCCTCACTTTCGCTCGTTGCTTGTAATGTGGTCGCTCTCATCTGCTGTTGCTGTGTCGGATATTCATGCTCGGTGTGCCATGGACTTTTTATTCGCCAGGCCTCTCGGCCGCTGCCGTCTGCCCCCAAGCTCTGGCACTTAGGGTCCCCAGCACAGCCTAATTTAAGCGCTCATCCATGAGCGCGTCGTCGTGGCCTTGATCCCCGGCGCGCCTGGCACCGCGTCGATCATCGCGGTGGACGGCGACGAGTGCGAGGAGCAGCTCGTCGGCACAGCGGACGTGCGCCACTGGGACCTGCTACCAGGCGGAGTACTACCGCTTCAAGGCCATCCCCACGGCGGCCGCGCTGACGGCGGCGGCTGGCCGCGCCTGCGCCCGCAAGGGCTTGGCAGCGCCTGCCGGGCCCGCGGTGCCCAACGTTGCGGGGGGGATGTTCGCGGCGGCCGCGCCGGCGGCGCCAGCGGCGGGCGTCCCCGCCGCGCTGCCTGGCGCAGCACCTGGCCCGGAGGCCGGCGGCCCCGGCGCCCTCGTGGCCGCGCTCCGGGGGCATGCCGGCGGAGCCGCTGAAGGCGCGCTCGCACCGGCGCCATCCCCAGCCGCCGCCGCTGCTGCCTGCGGCCTTGCCGCCCCTGTGGCCGAGGGGGCCCTCCTCGCGCCGGCGGGCCCCGCTGCGCCGGCCGCGGCACCGGCTGCGCCGGCGGCTGCCGCTGTCCCCGCCGCCGGCCCCCTCGCCGAGGGACTGGCGCCCGCGGGCCAGAGGGTGATGCCGCCGCCCGCCAGCCCCGGCGGCGACGCCCGCATCTTCGCCTTCGCGAGGGATGTGCGAGGCGTGCGGCATGCGGACATCCGCAGCATGGTGGCATTGATTGTCGAGCTTCCCTGGCCTGACTGGCCAGTGCGCGGGCCGCGCACGCTGCAGTGGGCGCTGCAGTTTTTGGCACAGCGGTCTGGGGCCCCGACGGCTCATCATCAGCGGTGGCTGGCAGAGACGGGGCTTGGTCCAGAGTCCCCAGGCGTGGAGATCCACCAGATGGGGTGCATGGTCCTCGGGTCGGCCGTCACCTGTGACCAGGTGCACGCCACGAATTTGGGGCATCTGGAGCTCATCGCTCGATCGGCCCAGGTGCAGGAGGAGCGCCGCCGTGAGATGGTGGCCCCGAGCGAGCCTGGCGCTGCGGACCGCGCCGTCATGATGGGCTCGCAGGAGCTCGGCGGGGCGGCCTGCGCGTGCCCCGCGTTGCGAGACCATCTCGCGCAGGAGCTGCAGCGGGAGATGGCGGTGGCGAAGGAGAGGAGGAAGGCGCGCGAGGAGCGCGCCCTCGCCGGGGGCGTGCCCGGCCAGCCTGGCGCAGGGCGCGGGGGGGGGGAGACGGGGCGGCCGCGGCGGCTGGGGCGGCTCGCCCAACGCCGCCGGGGCCGATGCCTGACCTGCTCCGGGGCGGATGGCCTGGCCAGCCGCCGCCCCTGCCCCCCCCGGCCATCGCGGGCCCCGCCACACGTGCGACCCGCCCCCCTGGCGACGCTGGGCTCCGACCGCAGGAGGAGGGGGAGGAGGGCCGACATCGGGATCTGTTTCCTCTTCCGCTGCTGGCTGCGGCGGATGTGGCGTCTGGGTCGTCGGGGACTCAGCGGCGCGCTCGTGCCAGCCGCGCGTTCGCGCACGCGCTCGGCCGTGCCAGCGCCGCCGTGCATGCCCTGCATCACTTCTACGGCGACCAGTCCTCGCCCGCGCCGACGCCGTCTGCCGGGCAGCGCTGCGCTGCCGCTCGCATCTGGGACTCGATCGTCGCCCTCGGCCCTGAGCCGGATGAATATCGTGACGACGTCTCAGATCCCAACGGGGCCCTCCGGGAGCTCCTTGCTGGGTCGGCGCTGTACCCTGACGGCGGCGGGCCCACCTCTCCCTACGTGCCAGACCTCGTCTCCTGGCCGGAAGTGTCGCAGCCCCCCGCGCCGCTCCTTGGGCTGCTGGGCGAGCGAGACTCCGCCGCGCTGCGGGGGTGGAGGTGCCAAGTGCTTCGTGGGCCTGAGACGGCGCGGCAGCTTCGAGCGGAGGCATGCCCGCAGGGCCCGTATACGGATCCTGCCTTGCTCCGTTCACCGCTGGACTACGCCTCCTTTCTCAGAGCGACGGTGGGGCGCAGCATGCTCACCTTCTCCCCTTCGCAAGGGCGTCGGGGCAACATGGGGATTTTTCTCGTGCCAAAGAAGAGTGGTCAGCCCAGGGTCGTCTTCGACACTCGCCTGGCCAACTGCGCGTTCATCGGTGCGCCCCGCACCCAGCTGCCGTCGGCATCGGCTTGGGGGCGGCTCGAGTCGGGCGACGTTCGGTTCTCCATTGCATCGGCGGACCTCGACATGGCCTTCTACCACATGCGGGTCCCGGAGGGTATGGAGGAGTACTTCACGTTGCCGCCGATCCCCGCCAAGTATCTCGCGTCGCACGGGATCGCAGCGGCGGAGGTGGAGGGCGAGTCGCTTTTGTTGCCTCAGGTTGTCGTGCTGCCGATGGGCTTCAGCTGGGCCCTGCACCTGTGCCAGGCGGTCCTTCAGACATCCTTGGGTCGTGCAGGTTTCTCGCCTGGCGACCTGATCCTTGACGGCCACTGCGGCTGCCAGCTCACCGACGACCCTGATTCTGTCGTGGGTGCCGGCTACGTGGACAACTACTTCGTCCTCGGCGGCTCCCCGAAGACGGTGAGCGCACGGCTGCAGGCGATCGCGGATGTCTTGACGCGCCACGGGCTCGCTGTGCACGAGCTCGTGGCGCATTCCCAGGACCGCGACTTCTTGGGGCTGTCGCTGCGCGAGGGGCGCTGGCTCAGCCCCAGGACCCGCAACATCTGGAGGTCGCGCGCCGCCATCCGCGCGGCGCTCCGGAGGCATGTCATCAGCGGCTTCTTGCTCCGCGTGCTGACGGGTCACATCACCTGGGCGCTGCTGTTGCGGAGGGAGTTGCTGTGCATCCTAGGGGCGGCCTACGCCTACATCGAGGCCACCGGGCCAACTGCTGCCCCGCTCTGGCCCACCGTCCGCCACGAGCTCCAGCTAATTCACGACCTGCTGCCGCTGTGCACGGCGGACCTTGGCCCTTGGCGCTGCGTTGCACGGGCGAGTCGCCTGCGCGGACGCCTCGCCTTTTGGGCTGCGCGTCGTTGCTCGCCGCGCCCCAAAGGACCTCGTGGGCGCCATCGGGAGAGTCGCTGAAAAGTGGAGGTACTAGGTCGAGGGCGGGGCTCAGGCAAGGAGTAGGACGGTCGGGCTCAACTTCGACGCTTCGGACGCGCCGCTCGGGGACGTCGTCGCTGATCTCGGGGATGACGCTCGTGTATCTGGTGATGGGATCGATGACTACTCGTTGTTCGTGGACGTCCAGGGCGGGGCCCTCGCAGGCCCGTGGGAGATGCAGTCGCCAGGGCCCCCCAGGAACACCGACAAGTCGATCCTGGACATGCGACCTGCCGTGGACTTCGATGAGGTTCTTGCTCGCTTCGTTCGGGGGTCTGCCTGGGGTTCGGTCGCCGCGGTGTACATCGACGGGAGGGCCGACATCTTGGCCCTCGAGGGGGAGGCTCTCGTGCTCGGGTATCGGCACCTCCTTCGGTCCACATCCGCGTTCGGGTCCCGCTTCTTAACCTTGTCCGACAACCTGCCGTTGGTCCTGTCCGTTGGGAAGGGCCGAGCCCGCAGCAAGTATTTGCAGAGCACGCTTCGAAAGGTCTGTGCGCTCTCTGTGGCCACTGACTCAACCCTCTCAGTGCGGTGGGCCCCCTCCGAGTCCAACCCCTTAGACGCATTCAGCCGTGGGCGCGCTGGTTGGTTCTCGGGCAGCCGGACTGCCCCGCGGCCCCCAGGTGGCGGGCTGCTGGCTCATGCGGCGGCTCGTGTCGCTGCTGGCGCTGTCCCAGATGGCGGCGGGGGCTCGGCGGCTCTCCGCGCCGGCGCCGTCTGCTCTCCGCACCGAGCGGGCGCGCCATGCGCGGGAGCTCGCGGCGGAGACGGCGACGGTCGCGGGCCCATCATTGCTGGAGCTTCTGGCGGTCAGGAGCTCGACCACGCGGCTCTACCGGGGAGCGCTTGCCAACTTCGTCGTGCACTGTGCCGGGCGCCGCCTGGATTGGACGAGCCATGCGGGCCTGGACCAGGCGCTGGTGGAGTTCATGGACAGCGAGTTCCTCGTCGGCGGCGGCGGCGACCAGGGGAATGTTCTCCTGGCGGCGGTGGCGCACTTCCTCGGCTCCTTCCACAAGCGGACCCCTGTGCTGTTGCCGAGGGCTCACCGAGCGGCAGCGGCCTGGGCACGGCGCGCCCCTGCGCGCACTCGACTGCCGCTGCCGCGCCGCGTGGTGTTCGCCTTGGCCGGCCTCCTGATTCACGACGGCTTCCCCAGGCTGGCCATTTGCATCTTCGTCATGTTCACCTCGTACCTCAGGCCAGGGGGGGCGGCGAAGCTCTGCGGTCGCCACCTCGTCGCCCCGTCCGAGGCGGCTGGCCCAGGCTACCAGTTCTTCGGGCTGCTCCTGCGCGAGAGCGGACAGGAGCCAGGCAAGACGGGGGTGAACGACGAGAGCATCTTGTTCGACCGCGAGGCCTGGCTCACCCCGCTGCTGCTGGCTCCGAAGCTGTCCACGGCGCCCTCGGAGCCCCTGCGGAGGGAGTAGGTGTGTCGCCTGGGCACGCTGTTCAGCCAGGCGTGTCGGCGACTGTCGCTGGACCGCCTTCGCCCCCACCTGCGCAGCTTGCGCCATGGGGGGGCCTCGGACGACATGCTCTCCCAGAGGCGCCTGCTTGCCGAGATCCAGCGGCGCGGGCGCTGGCGGACATCCAAGAGCCTGAACCGCTACACAGAGGAAACCAAGCTCCTGGGCGAGCTCTCCTGGATCCCGCCCGAGGTCATGGAGCTCGGGGCCTTTGTCGAGATCAACCTCGTCGCGCTGATCGGCGGCTGCCTGCCCGGCTGGCTGGCGACTGGCCGCGCCCCGGCCGCCGTCGTTGCCCTGCTCGGGGCGCCCGCGCCCGCCTCCCAGCGCGGCCTCTTGAGGGGGCGGGCGGCGCGCAAGCGGCCAGCGGCAGCGCTGCTGGTGCCGACGAGGGCGGCCCGCCGGCGGACGCTGCGAGGCGGCACTTGCAGCGGCAGCACCGGCGCGCGGCAGTGCCAGGCCGTGCCCTGCGGCGCCGCCCTGTCCTGGAGCTCTTCTGCGGGGGCGGCGCGATCGCCAAGGCGGTGCTCGCCTGTGGCCTCGCCGCCTTCGGGCTGGACTGGCATCGCAGCCCGCTAGAGGACCGCGTGCAGCCAGCATTAGTTGCCACCGTCGTTGGATGGATCCGATCTCGAGCCGTCGGCGCTGTCTGGCTGGGCACCCCCTGCACCGGCTGGACGCGCGCCTTGCGGCGCCCTCTCAGATCGGACAGCCGCCCACTTGGGCGACCCGGCCTCTCGGAGCCGCTGGCAATGCCGCTGTGCGTGTGACTATCATAATAATGTGTGCCTGCCTCGCCGCCCGCATTCCCGTTTTTCTCGAGAATCCTAAGACCTCGCAGATTTGGTCGCACCCGCAGCTCGCTCGTCTCTGTCGCAGATCTTGTTGCCATAAGTCTGTATTGCACCAGTGCCAGTTTGGAGCTAAGTATAAGAAGGCTACCACCATCTTGTCCTGGGGCGCCTGCTCCACGCGCGCGCTGGAACGAGCGCGCGCAGGTAAGCGCATCTGCAGCAAGACAGGCAATCATCATGTTATTTTAGAGGGCAACGACGAGCAGGAACGCAAGCGCACCGCGGTGGCCGCTGAGTGCCCTCGCCCACTCGCTCTGGCCGCCACTCAGTGCATCATCGATGCGATGCACGTTCAGCCCGGCCTCGCCCTCCTGTCTCTTGCGATGAAATGATTCGTTTTTTGTGTGTACGGTCTTCGGCCAACTGTACCTTCGGGATCGGGTGCGGGCCGCGCAGGTGGTTCACACGAGCGCCGCCGCGCTCCACGTCCAGCCCCTGCCGCCTCTCAGCTCGATCGGCTCTTGATAATGCCTGGCCCTCTGGTGCCCCAGAAGGAAAAGGATTCCTGGCCCGGGAGCCGCTGCGAGCTGGTAGTTTTCACAACTGAGGGCTAAGCAGAGGCAGAGGTCCGATGTACTCATAAGTTGGCTCTTAGTTTTTCCCATGGCCATCCTGACACGCCTCCTCGCACAAATTTGACGGGGTGCGGGCCACATAGGTGGTTCACACGAGCGCCGCCGCGCTCCACGTCCAGCCTGTGCCGCCTCTCAGCTCGATCGGCTCTTGATAATGCCTGGCCCTCTGGTGTCCCAGAAGGAAAAGGATTCCTGGCCCTGGAGCCGTTGCGAGCTATACACACACACACACATATATATATATATATATATATATATATATATATATATATAGTTGTGGGTGTGTGAAGTCGTGTTATTCGGTGATCTGATTCGTGATACGTTGCTATGCTATGGTATGATCAGACCAGGGTATGATATGGCATGATTTACTATGACATTGTATGGTATGATGAGGTATGCTATGGCATGACATGATATGGCCGCATGTGATATGATACGCTGTGGTATGAGGTGGGTGAGTGTGATTTGCGGTGGTGCGATCATATATGATCTGACATGGTAGGATGAGGTACTATATCGGATGCTGCTTTGATACGTATTATTCTAAGGTGTGGCATGGCATGATATAGTATCAGATTACATGCTGTGCTATGATGTGATACGGAATGCTATGATATGATGTGGCATGAATTGGTACGATTGCTGATGTCCTTGAAGATCTTGCCTGTAACCACATGGGCAGAAATGCGATGGTAGCGTGCGGCATGGTATGCTATGCGACACGTCCATATATGTATACAAGTAGACGCTTGTATGTATATATGTATGAATGTATACATCACGTATGTCATAGATTTGGATGAGCAGTAAGGGCCATCACAGACATTGGGAGTAGGACGACACAGTCTGATGAGCAGAAAGAGATAGCATATTCTGCGTCCCAGAGCTCGGATCCCCTTCGTTTCATTCGTTTGTTTCTTCCGTCCTCGCCCTCGCCTCTCTCCTTCAGGACCCCTCGGGCCCCTCCCCGGGCAGCAAGCCTTCCAACACGGCCTAAGAACTCCAATTTGCCCAAGAGATTTTGACTGCGACCCATGAGCCCACAACATGGGCTTCCATGTATTAGAGTACGACTCGGATCCAGGTTGCTTCGATATGAGTCAGGCTTCCAAGAGAGCCCAAGATGTCCCCACGAGTTCCTCAGAGAGCCTCAGAAACGCCAATATGGGCCAACACTGCCCCGAGGCAAGCTCTGATATAGCCCCAACACAGCCCAAGAGAGCCAACGTAGCTCTGAGAAGGCCCCATGATGACCCCAAGAGTCTCCCCTTCGTCGATCGTCGTGCTCCCGTCCTCATCCCTCGTGCAAGGGGCCGGGCACGCATGCCACTTATGATTTAGATTATGTCTTGTAGCCGATCGTAGCAGGCTAGCGCAAATCGGTCTCCACCTTTCAGTTGGCAGGGTGGCCATGAGCGTGCTAGTGGAAAGCGGTGAGGAGCTGTAGTGGTGCGGCAGAGGTTATTCAGCGTGGTGCGTCCTGGAGACGGCAGTGAAAACACAGCAGCAGGCCAGGTAATGCAGGGCGCAATCGGGGACTGGTTGGTAAATTCTAGGCCCGTTGCGCTTCGACATTTTACTGCTTTTTGTTTGCGCATGCGTTTCTCAGGACAGTCTGCTTGTTTTGGTGTCATGGTGACGGCCTCGACCCCTATCTCGCAAGTCTCCTGGGCTGCAGTCTGCACGCTGCTGTTGAGGCATTGGGCCACGCAGCACATCTGTGCAATGCTCTAGCGCTAGTGCTACTTTGAGTTGAGGGTAGAAAAGCGTGTAGCATATAATCGCACCGGTTGCGGTCATTTCTGATTGGCATTCTGTTGACATTACCTTGTGTGGCCCGTGTGGCGGGCGGTCCTAGGCTGACGGTGGGTGTTCTGCTCTAAGCGGTCGATGGAGCGGGGAGCGTTGGAGTGGGGCGCCCGCGCGCACCAAGGGAACCTGTGACCGCGGAGAACGTTGCCGGTTCTCTCACGGCGACTCTGGCGGCGGCGGCCGCGGAGGCGGGTGGGTGCCGCAAGAAATTTGGGTCGCCCGAGCTGCGCGCACCGCACGGTTGGATGGGGGGCTTTCAGCATCAGGCGTTCAGGGGGGTCGTCGGAGAGGATTGGTTTGTGAGGACCTACGGACTTTGCATTGCCGACGCGTTATTTGTTTACCGCTAGTGATCTTCGCTGGCGCGACTGCCCGGTCTGTTTCTCCTGATCGTGGTTTCATGCTGCGAAGCGTTTTTACCGGCGGAGCCGGGTGAAATTCCGTACCCGCCGGCTGACTGATGACTGACTGAACGTCAGGGGACAGCTCGGGAGACACATTTCAAACCGCCCGCGGGAGCGCAACCCGGCGGCGCAACCGCAACCGCGACCGGGCGACACATTTCAAAGCGCCCGCGGGAGCGCGCAACAGCAACCGCAACCGCAACCGGGCGACACATTTCAAAGCGCCCGCGGGCGCGCAACCGCAACCGCAACCGGGCGACACATTTCAAAGCGCCCGCGGGAGCGCGCAACCGCAACCGCAACCGCAACCGGGCGACACATTTCAAAGCGCCCGCGGGCGCGCGCAACCGCAACCGCAACCGGGCGACACATTTCAAAGCGCCCGCGGGAGCGCGCAACCGCAACCGCAACCGGGCGACACATTTCAAAGCGCCCGCGGGCGCGCAACCGCAACGGCAACCGGGCGACACATTTCAAAGCGCCCGCGGGAGCGCGCAACCGCAACCGCAACAACGGGCGACACATTTCAAAGCGCCCGCGGGCGCGCAACCGCAACCGCAACCGGGCGACACATTTCAAAGCGCCCGCGGGAGCGCGCAACCGCAACCGCAACCCGGCGACACATTTCAAAGTGCCCGCGGAGGGCTAGGGCGAGTGCGAGGACGAGGATGGCGAGGAGGAAGGAAGTGGAGGGGGAGGAGGAGGAGGATGGTGAGGAGGGGGAGGAGGACAATGAGGAAGAGGAGACGGATGCCGAGGAGGAGGAGGAGGAGGACGAGGAGGAGGAGGACAATTAGGGGGTGGAAATGGATGCCGAGGAGGAGGGGGACGACGACGACGACGACCAGGACGACGACGACGACGACGACGAGGGCGAGGAGGAAGACTGAGCAACAGCAGGGGGATGGGCTGGGGGGGGGCAGGGGGCGGGGGACGACAAGGAGAAGAAGGAGGAGCCACTGGCGGAGGGCCCGACGACGAGCCCCCGCGTGGTCCGCGGTTCTCCGCCGGGACACTGCAGCGGGGAATCCCTATTCCACGCTGCTGCCTTTGATTTAGGTTTCATGCTGCGTGGTGGGCGCTAAGTAAGCGCCACAGGCTGCCTGTGCGCCTGCTGGGCATCACTTTCATGGGGTCCACGACACCGCTTGGCTTGAGCGTAAGCCGCCGAGGGTGGCGCTGAAGCATTGAAGCTATTGAGCCGCCCACCCAGGAGATATTGACACATTGCCTTCCAGAAGCGTGTGTCCCAAAAGCCTGAAGTCATCGAATCACTAGCATAAAGTGCCAAACGTGGGAGCCAGTTTCTTCAACCGAGTAGTTCGTTCTTCTCGGCGGACGCAAAGTGTAGCCATGATTGTTTCCCCAATGCCACTCTGTCTGCGCCATGTCGGCCGCCACGAGCCTGCCATGTGAGCGGGAACATGGATAGCATACGACGCAGTCAGAGGAATGATAACATGAGTATGCGGAGATGCGGACGTGGATGGGACACAGCCGTTTCACAAGATGAGGGGGGGATGGGGCAAAGGAGGATCTGGACGATGGGCAGGTATGACGAGGAAAAGGACGAGCGCGACGAGTTTTAGCAACGGGCGCAGGAGCAGCGGAGGTAACAGAGACATCACGGCGAGGAGTTCGAGGAGGGATGGATCTACGTCACCAGTTCTCATGTCCCAAAGGAGAGGAAGGCGCTGGGGCAGCATAGCTTGTCGTCCAAGCGGCGCCTCATAGAGGAAGGGGAGGAGAGAGGCTGCTAATTCCAGAATGTGGAGGGTGGGGGGCTGAGAGTCAGGATAAGGATGGGGCGGAGGGGAGCAGAAGCGGCATGAGGGGCAGGGGGGAGGGACAAGGACGGATGAGGGAGCTGGGGGAGAGGAGGGAGGGACGGAATCTGAGACGGACGATAGTACAGGTGGGCGAGGGAGGCGAGGAGAGTGGACGAGAAAGGAGGATTACCATGATGCTGGGGGAGGATGGGGGCTGGTGGAGCAGGGGTCGACCTCATCGCTGTTACTCCTGTGCCGCCGATGCACGCGTAGATGTAGACGCACAGGAGGAGAAGGAGGAAGAGGAGGAGAGGGAGCAGGAAGATGATGACGAGGAGGAGGAGGCTCCGACACGAGTGGGCCCCCGAGGCCGCAGCAGGCACCCAAAAGGCCCTCAAGGGCCCCAGAAGAGGCCCCAAGAGGCCCCCACAGGGCCCACACAAGGCCACGCGAAGCTTCAACACTCGCTCCACGAGGCGCCCGAGAAGCATCAGACCCCGAATTACAGGTATCCAAGGATCCTTTGGCCCAACATTCAGGCACAGTAGCGGTATGGGCCGAAGGCCATCGATAGGTAAGCAATTGGTTTTGTGACGGACCCATTCTTATGCAGCCATGTGTAGCGAGGGCGCGGGTCTCTCCTCATACATTGCGGGGCATGCGTGCACAGGTGCGCTGGATTCCTTGTGGGGCACGATCCACATGAAGGGTGTGCCAAACAATTCGGATATCCCCGCGCGAAAGCGCCCACTGAGGCCGCAGGTGGACCTCGTCCAGGCACGACCCGTGCGAGGCATCTTCCGAGATGGGGGGGGGTATGCCATGCGAAGCTGCCAATTGGTGCCGTAGGTGGAGCTCCTTATGGGGCATGGTTCGCTTGACGGGTGTGCTGACAAGGGCGGGGAAGCGCTGTGCGAACTTTGTCTCTGGCTAAAGAAGGCGTGATCCGCGTGATGGGGTGTGCCGCAATGGCCAGGGGGGGCGGGGGAGATCCCTGCGGGCCACGATCCGTGTGAGAGGTGTGCCGAAGTAGACGGGAGAGCGGGATGCGAACTTTGTCTCTGGGACCGTCCGTGGAACTCCTTGCGGGCCATGATCCGTGTGAGAGGTTTGCCGAAGTAGACGGGACGACGCGATGATGCTTCGCCTCCGCGCTCCGCCCAGGGCCAGATGGGCGCCCGCGCGAGCGGAGGGCCGAGTGGTTCGAGGAGTTGCGGCTCGTATACGGGCGGGATCAGGAGAGGTGAGCGGGGAAGGCTCTTGCCCTGGACTCGCAGGGTGGCGCTCGTTCCGCTGGGGTTTTCATGCGAAAGAGAAGACTTCGCTCTTGGCGCAACTGCACCTACTTGCGGGGCACGATCCGCGTCAGGGGCATGCCACTATGCGAACCTTGTCTCTGGCGACGTGGGTGGAACTCCCTGTGGGTCGCGATCCCAGTGAGGCGTGTGCCGGCAAGCGCGGGGGAACGCTAGCCAAACCTGTCTCTGGGGCCGCAGGTGGAGCTCCTTGAAAGGCACGACCCACGCGACAATCATGTCCTCCGATGCCAAACACTTTAGACTACAACTAGAGCCTGCTAGACCCTAAGCGCGCGCGAAGCGCCCGCGTGGTTCTAGTATGTATATGTGCGTATGTGTTTCTCTCTTTCTCTCTCTCTCTCTATATATACATATACCTATACGACCACCCTTCAGGTGATAAGGAGGTTCGGGGGGGGACGAACCAACGTCTCACTCGATCAGTCTCACTATCGATCTCACCATCGATCTCAGTATCGGTCTCGCTCGATCGATCTCCCTCGATCGATCTTACAATCGATCTCACTCGATCTATCTCACAATTGATCTGACTATCGATCTCACAATCGATCTCACAATCGATCTCACAATCGATATCACATTCGGTCTCACTATCGATCTCACTATCGATATCACAACCGCTCTCACAATCAACGTTATCATCATCATCAACAACATCAACATCAACATCATCATCACCAACATTATCAGAATCGGGACGCCGTCCTCATCATCAACACCAACATCATCATCATCACGGGCATCAACATCATCGGGATACCACCATCATCATCATTATCATCATCATCAGCACCATCATCACAATCATCATCATCAACATCATCATCATCAGCAGCATCGGGACACAGTCATCGTCATCATCATCGTCAGCAGCATCATCATCGGGACACCATCATGATCACCATCGTTATCATCATCATCACCATCATCATCATCACCATCATTATCATCATCATCATCATCGGGACACCATCATCATCATCATCTCATCGTCATCATCGGCATCATCATCATCAGCATGATCAACATCACCATCAGCATCATCAGCAACATCGTCATCATCGGGACGCCATCAGCAGCATCATTACCAACATCAGCATCAACATCATCATCATCATCATCATCAGCATCATCACCATCGGGACGCCATCATCATCAACATCATCATCACCATCATAATAATCATCATCGGGGCGCCATAATCATCATCAACCTCATCATCATCAACATCATCATCATCATCGGGACACAATCATAATCAGCATCATCAACATCAACATCATCATACTGATCCATCATCGTCATCATGATGATCATCAACATAATCATCATGATCATCATCATCCTCATCATCGGGACACCATCAGCATCATCATCATCATCGTCATCATCATCATCGACATCATCATCATCATCATCATCATCATCATCATCATCATCACCGGGACACCATCATCATATCATCATCATCGTCCTCATCAGCATCAGCAGCATCATCATCATCAGCATCACCATCATCATCATCGTCATCATCATCAGCAGCATCAGCATCATCAACATCAACATCACCATCATCATCACCATCATCATCATCATCTCAACATCATCATCATCATCAACATCATCATCATCATCATCATCATCATCATCATCATCATCATCATCATCATCATCATCATCATCATCATCATCATCA